GGTTGGAGGCCATTGCTATTAGGTTGGAGGCCATTGCTATTAGGTTGTGAAACATTCATCATGTTTGGAAAAGGTACAGATCCCTTCTACGTACTCATCCTCCAAAACGTGCCAACTCGCTTAAGTGCATGCTTTCTTAAAAGCACAACCAACATGGCCAAAACATCCTCTCATATGCTCTCACGACATCCTCCCAGGAAGCCGCGAGGCAGAGGCCATGCTTGATTTGGCAGATGCCCTCTGCAAAGAGCAGGTCTCCCGTGTGGACTCTCGTGCTCGGCGCTTCCTACGCGATGCCTTCCAGATCTGCTCCTCGACCGTTCCCGGACGACTTCCCGGGACCGTTACTGGGCGGGGGGCGTTTTGAGGGTTGGGTGTCTCGGTGTCGGTGTGACCGGTGTGAGTTGCGGAGAAAGGATGGATGGTGGAGGGTTTGGTGGCGGTTCTTCGTTATTTTTTTGGGGGAGAAGGCGTGAGACTGAAGTGGATGAAGTTGAGATGGGAACTGTGCTGCAGACCACCATCCAGACACAGAAACCAAAACATGTCGCGTCTTCTACCGGGTGGGGGGGGGGCGAATGGCGCAGGAAATACCTCCAATTCTCTTGTGGTCATTGACGTATACAAGCCATCTCATGAGGTCACTGATTGGTTGCCTTAAGTGGCTATTCCATGAAGAACCCCCAGCCCCGGGGCTCTTTGACCATCGTTGAAGACATTTCTTGAGGAAAATCTGGGATGAACAGATCACCTCTCCCTGGGATGAACAGATCCGATGCGTGGGAGGTTTGAAGTCTTCCAAGGTATGCTCCACTGAAACTGTGAAACTGGCATGATAATCAGTTGATCAGTTGGTCGCAAGGTATGCTCAACTGGTATGAAACATCAAGTCTTCCAAGGTATGCTTTCAGATCTATTATATTAACCATATCAACATGATCTGTGATCGGTCTGCTTCGTTGCTCGCCCAAGCAGACATATACGTGGATCTTCGCAACGACACAATGATTGCCTCTTCAAAAACAATGCCGTTACGGCGTCTTTTCCCAAAGACGGCTTTTTTGGTTGTGACCAAGCGGAAACCGGCAGAAACCAAAAAGAAAC